CCAAAAAATTAATAAAGCCACTAACTCATGAGGACGGTCTGGATACTCAAGGCCAATCTCACTTCCTTTAGCATTCAACTTCTTGTAAAATACCCTTATCCAATTAAAGAAGTGTGCAACCTTCGAATTGTTTAAACTCTTGAGTAAATTAAGAAACAATTCTCAAATACTTACCTCTTCTTTAGAAAGCTTGATAGAGTGAAAGGGTTTTTTCCCATACAAAGAAGTTCTAAGAGAACAAATGCATTTTCTAGAATAGAGGTAAATTCCCCTAATGTTGTAATCATAGAATGAGAGAAAGTGCTCCACCTTACAAGAATAGCATGACGTACATCCATATTTTTCTCTCTACAAATGTTGAGCTTCAAGGTGACACGTACTACATTAAGTATTCCAACAGTTGAAAGAAGTTTAACATAAGTAGGATTCTTCAACACCTTGTTTACCCAGTCATCCCAACTATTAACAAATTGAGAATTGGAGCTTTGATTAGTTGCAGAAAGTGAAAATTCACCACAATCAAACCTGAACTTCTGAATTAATCGTCCTGGCATACCAATTCTTTTATGAAAATGTGCTTTTGAGAATAGACAATTCTAATCATATTTATTAGGTTCAAAAGGATGTTCATCAATCTGTCTGGCATAGACTTCCTCCCAAAAATGCTATTCCCCTTTTTCTTTAATAACATCATCTTCTTAGTTTTCAGGAACTGAAGGATTTCACTAGTCTTTCATACTCTAATTTTTTAAGGAGGAACTACTTTGGAAGAAATATTCTTCTTTTTATATATAATGATCTTTTTCCTTGTTGCAACCCTTTCAGGTTCACTACAATGGATCTTTGGAATCAAACACATCTTAAGTATTAAGGAATATGGAAAAAGAAGCCTACAAACATGATCATGGAAAAAGAGATAAGCACACATATACAATAATTTTTCATTTATTTATTAAGCATAAAAAAACTACAAAAAAGCCCACGACATAAGTGTCGCGAGTAACAAATAAACAAGCTCGCATCAAAAGTGTAGCGATTATCAAATAAAAAAGTTCACGGCACAAGTGCCATGAGCAACAAGGAAAACAACTAATGGCACTCAACGACGCACAAAGGATGTTGCACGTTAAACACAAAAGTCTTGACATTTTTCTTTTTTTAAAAAATAATTAATATTTTTTATTTTGTTTGTTTGTTTTGTGTTCTTCTTCTAAAATCAATCTGTTTTTCTGTTTCAGCATATAGATATAAAAAAAGTATTAGATTTATAATTGATCCTTGTTTTAATATGAAAAAAGTTAATGATCAAAATATGAGTTTATAAGTGCATTAAGACTTTACAAATCCCCTGAGCATATGTTTGAAAATCAACTAAATGTTAAAATTAAAATGTTTTTAAAAGAGGCTTAATCTAACCTTACGTATTGAGACATCGTATAAGGGTATCGAGACTTTTAGCTTTTAATGCCTTAAGAAACAGCTTAAGGAAAAAGGTGTATCAAGACATCTCTGGTGGGTATTGAGACTATATTCATTGAAAAACCAAAATCTAAAGGGCAAGTATTGAAGTGTTGAGACCAGAATAGTTTATTTCGAGACATCTCCTCTGAAGAGTAGAATTTCGAAAAGTAAGTCCTAATGTATCGAGACACGAGCTTTAAGTATTGAGACTTTTCTTTCAACCTTCAAATTTTAGAGAATAAGTCCAAAAGTATCGAGACTTGAATTTCCAAGTGTCTAGACTTCACCTTCAGACTTCAATTCTAAAGACGATGTGTCAAGGTATTAAAACACCATTGACATAATATTGAAACCTTGTCTTTAGAGCTTAAAGATTCCAGAGTTTCAAGTGCACAATTATCAAGACTAGCCTGTCAAGTATTGAGATCATATCTCTAGAAATAATTTTCTAATGACCAAGCTATTATGTATCGAGACCAGGCCATAGAAGTATCGAGACACTGCTTCGTCAAGGAAAAAAAGTATCAAGATAGACATCTGAAATATCGAGACATTTGTTGATTTTGGAAGCAAAGTATCAAGACCTAAATCGTAAGTATCGAGACCTCACATCAGACAAGTCGTAAAAGGATAAACTTAAATGTCATAATTTTGAATTCAAAAGGTTAAACGGCTAGAACAAAGTTCTTAAATATAAAAGGAAGGCTGTAACTCATTTTTCATGAGAAATAACACATAGAGAAGATATTCAAAGTAAGATTAAAGCTTCAAAGAGAAAATCGCTTCTTCTTTACTTTTCAAGCCAAGTGTTTCTCATCCTTTAATCATTGAAATTTCTACTACTCCTTTGTTAAAACTTTATCTTTTTTTGTATTCATTGATTATATTCAACCTACTTAGAGGCATTCGTGAGCTTAAACTTCATCATTTTTGTAATCTTTGTAAAGGTTTTACCTTGCCATTGAAAGGTAGAGTGCTTAGAGTGGTTATATCTTAACCCTTAAAAGGGTAGTGTTGATAGGTTATACTTTAGCCTATGAAAAGGTAAAGAGGTTGTGCTTGCTTCTTGAAAAGGCACTGTAAAGGGTTGTGTGTGCTTCCGTTAACAAGCATTGTATGGGTTGTGCTTGAGCCCAGAAAAAGGTATTATTGTAAAGATTATACTTGAGCTTTAAAAAGTAATTTTCATATATATTGGATTGCAAATTCCTTGATAAGCTAAGAGAGAGGACATAGGCATTAAGGCCGAACCTCTATAAATATCGTGTTTCCTTTGTGTTTGCTAAAATTCCTATCTTTGTGCTTTAACTTGCAAAATATTTGTTAAATCACTCACCAAAGGCTTTTCATAACTTTTTATTGGTTGGTCTTAAAGGTTTTAAATCTTCACATTGCAAAAGTGTTTTAACTTGTAAAGGGGATTGAAAGAATTTTTAAAATATTCAGTTCAACTTCTATCTTGAGCTTTATCCTTTAAGCCAATTGAACTAACAAAAAGTTCTCTTTCAATCAAAAAAAACTTTCATCTCATGTCTGAAAAATTTCTTGTTTCATATTTCAATTAAAGAAAATCCATTCAGGATGCAACAAATGAGAAAAAACACAAGTAAGAAATCAAAAAAAGAATAGAAGTTACTTGCCTAAAAAGATTCGCAAAAAAATCAACTTTGCTTTGAATTTTGTTTTGTTTTGAATTTTGCTGTACTTTGAATTTGAATAAAGAAAATTGTTCTTAATAGCTTCGTATTTATAGTGCACATAGAATAAATGTTTTTTGTCAAAAAAATTAACTTTCTTTTTATGATTTGTATCTTGAAAATCTTATTTTATATAGAAAATATATTATCACACAATCAATCAAATATTAGACAAGATATTGGCATCACACCTTACAATAACATGGTACTACCTAAGGCATTATTGCCTAAGGTGTTACTATCCAAGGCATTACTATTTAGGGTGTCACTGTTTAAAGGGGTGCCATCCAAGGTGTTGCAGCACAAGGTGTTACAGTACAATGCGTTATAGGACAAAATAAAATTTTTCCTAAATTAATGCATAAGAATTATTTTTTAAAATAAGAATTCTTATACAGGAGGCAAAATATAGATAGTTGATTTTGGTTACTACCTATTTTCTAAAGAATTATTTTACAATGTAGTGCTGTACAAATAATAATGAGAACAACCTTTACAAATGAAGCACTACTTCACGTAAGAACAATTAAAAATAAGTGAAGCAATACTTCATGTAGAACAATTAAAACAAGTGAAACATACTACTTCATAAAAAACAACTAAAACAAGTGAAGTATTATTTCACGCATAACAACTGAAGTAAATAGAGTCTTACTCCAAATGGAACAACTAATACAAGTAGAATGGTTTCATATAAAATAACCATTTCACACGGATAGTAGTGAAAACACTTCAAATAAGTGATAAAGTTCATAAGTTACTTTCTTCTTAAGATGTTCAGGAGAGTTTGGCTTGGTGGCTCAAATATGAAACTAATTAAAAGGTCTTCTTTTGAACCTTTTCCTGAAATACAAGTGTTTTTTCCTTTTACCTTGTTTTTTTGTAACTATTCAAGTGCACCTTTTTCTATTAACTTGTTTTTATATAGCTTTTTAGTTATACTTCTTCTCTATTACTTTTTACTCTATATAAATCCTATTATACCCAATTACTTCAACAGTTATATAATGATTTTCTAACTATTACTCATTATGTAACAAAATCACCATTTCAATGTCCACATAATAGGTTATAGTAGTGGTTACTCACATGAAAAGTTTTCATAATAATGTCATTTATTACGTGCGTTAAAACTTATTCCTAATTAACCTTCACTTTTAGCAATATATATAGAGTCTTCACAATTCATTTGAAAGATCTTCACTTTCCAGAGTTTCTGTCTCTAATTCTCTTTTACATTCTCTACTTATTCTTTTTCACTTATTACGACACTCAATACTTCAAGAATTGCTTTGATGTTCCTTTGCGTTGCCTTCAACGCATCTTTTTATTTGTTTGCAATACTTTCTCTCCCTATCACAAAAACCCCTTTACAGTTAAGAAGTTTCTTTTTAGCATATGTACTTTTATAGATATTAATACTAATATTTATTATCACTTGTGTTGTATGAATACTTGTTTTTTATTTATTTTTAAATAATAGCTATACATAAAATAAAAGTATTTTTAAGTACATAATTAATTAACTATAAATAAAAAACAGTTATATAAAAAAAGAGAATTAATGTTGAATAAATCTTATTAAATATTTTAGATAACAATTTAATAATATAATGAGCAAATATGACCATAATCATTCAAGGTAATTAGAATTTTAATATATTACAAATTAGATAAAATTTTATTAATATTATTAATAATAAAACATTTAGGATAATAATTTAAAATAACAAATAAATATGATTATTATTGATAAAAAATAAAATGATAAGTTATAAATAGATAGATATATTGATATAAATTATTATTATTATAACTATAAATCAGAGATTATAGTAGACAAGATGAGCAGCGAAGTAGCCCATGGAAATTGATGGTTAGTGGCAACTACAAATCAGAAGGCAGAAGCCCAATTTTGACTTTTAACCGTAGCTTTGCTTGTAGCGAGAGCCACCTCTCAGGTTAAAATTCTTTGACAACTCCCAACCTCCTCCGAGAAAAATCAATTCAACCTCCAATTTCCTGAGAGGAATTGCATAGCAGAGTGGACTGCAATAATAATTCTTCAGAGATCTTGACGCTGTGCGGTTACAGATGGCGTACGTAGACCATGCCTTCTCGATATCGGACGAGGACATCATGATGGAGACATCATACGCCGTTAACAATCGGCCTCCGTTCAAGGAGATCGGCCTCGCTGTTGCTCTTCTTGTCTTTGGTACACTTGGGATTATCTTGGGTACCTTCATGGCCTACAACAAAGTCGGCGGTGACCGAGGCCATGGTATTTTTCTTTTGCTTTCTTGCAAAACAAACATTAAAGAAGCTTTTATTTCGATTAAGACCAATTAGTTAATTTGTGGGATATGATTCTTTCTCAGGGCTTTTCTTTGCAATATTGGGATGCATATTGTTCATTCCAGGCTTCTATTACACAAGGATTGCATATTATGCTTATAAGGGCTACAAAGGCTTCTCTTTCTCCAACATTCCCCCTGTCTAGAGGAACTCTCCTGCTCCGCCCTATGTACAGACCTTTTTTCATTTTTCTACTTTCTCTTTAATGTTTCGGGTTCCCTGTTCAGTGTTCAACGTTCTTTCCTTGTTTCTGTATCCACAATAACTTGGCTTGTATGTTATTTGTTCCATAGTAAAATTGTGACCAATAGTCTTGTTTTTGCTGGTTGTTTTATGACATTATATAATTATCTAATCTTACTGTCTTCTACTGCTGCTACTACTACTACTACTTATACCCTATGTTCTTATTTCTTACCTCAAGCTGTTGCATTCAGTTTCTGCTGAAGGCCCATCCTATCCTAACTAGTTGCTGGACTCATGCATTTAGACAATTCCCTTTTTTTTCATTCCCATTTTGCAATTTTTGTCTTGCCATTTTTCGAATGAATAGATGGAGAGGTGTTGAAGGGATGTATTCCCCTCTGCTCATTTGATTAGTGTATATATTAGGCTGCAAAATTGTCTTTTTTTATCCTGTTTTATTGGTTTCACTGTTGTATGATTTTTTATTTATGTAGTGACAAGTTAAATCTATGTACATGTTCATTTAAGGAATCAATGGACATGGATCACTTTGACATGGTATGCTTTAATGTGAAGTCAAGCTGTATTACTGGAAGAAATAAGGCTTCAAGGAACATCTTGGTTTGTAGAAAAGTGAGGATGGCAGGGTGCCAAATGAGAAATTATGTAAAGTTTTTGGAAATAATTTTTCCCTTAAAAGTGCTATAGCCATTTTGTATTATTATGTCAAATGTAATGGGTGTGAATCTAGTGAGCCTAAAGGAACTAATAGATGCTTTAAATTTGTAGTTCATTTTTTAATATAAATAGTTCCATTTTTCTTTCTTTCTTTCTTTTCTTCATTTTTGCTTGGAAAAATTGTGGTAGAAAGTTACTTGAATTGGAGTAGGAACCTTGTCTCCATTGATAATAGTAAGAAATGTATTACAACTGTAATAAAGATTTACTTCTGAAATTCTTATTGAATTTCATGAAGTGATGGTAAACATTGTTCTGAATGTAAATTTTGTCTTGAATTTTGGTCGCAAGTACTTATAAACTTGTGAGCTACTAATGCACTCTTTGTTTGTAGTCCTTGCATTGTGGAACTCCTGTTACCTGCCTTGCATATCATGTGAACTAGAGCTATGATCATTTTGTTATGTAGAAATACCAAATCTGTTATCAGTGAATAATTCTTAGTTCTTTTGTCCCTTAATTTTACTTACATTAACCATCGGTGCAAATGCAATTAGTCTTGACTGATAGAAGTTTTAGGTGACTTAAAGGGTCATATATGGCTTATTAAACCTTTTGGCAACATGATTTATCTCATAGATGTGGACATGTACACCATTGGGTGTATTTCTTTCCACTAAACATAATTTATTGGATACGACAATACCAATCATTATTGGGTCTGAAGACTTTCACTAAGCAGACTTTTCTGCTTTCTTTCGGGCAAGTATTTTATCCATGATATGAGAATAGTACCTAACCCTGATGGTTTATTCTGTCAACTCTCATCAGCCAATAACCAGTTCTACGGCCTTCTAGGATCTATCTTTAGAAACATAGGAACACATACATCTGTGCCAATAAACAGTTCTATGTGTAGGACCACATAAATTCTTAGTTTATATGTGATGCCTTGTGAAGTTTATCAGAGTTGCACTGCTCATGCCACGATATGCCGTGTCTAATATAATTGAGTTTTAATCATTTAATTTGTACTGGATTTTTTGACTTGTGGTTGATCGCTAGCATTCTAATTATATCTTTTGCACAATCTGTTGCTGGGGAAGTATGCACTGAAGTGCAGATTTATCTGCTTGGCTGAAATATGTCTGGGACATGAAGATGTCGGAGCAGGTTGATACACACATTTATGAAGATAACATGGATGTTTCAATAATTTTACAAATTGCATAGTCATCCTTTAAGGGGAGTTGTCAACTACATTCCGGTGTTGACTAGAGAACTAGCATTCCTAGTATTATATGATCAACAGTTGGACTCTTTCCACCAATTTGCTAGATTTTAGATGGAATCAGCTTCTGTTTTGCTTCGGTGTGACTTTTTCCTGAGTTAGCTTACCATTGATTATTAGCCATGTGACATTTGGGCTTATTAGCATATTATTAGATTGTTGCTCACTATAATTAATCGTCTGTCTTTTTATTATTTTGCATTCTATTTTTCCACTAGAATCATTTCTTCCCTCCTTGTAGCCAAGGGTTTAGTGGAGGTAGTGTTCCTTGCTTGGTGCAAGAGGTAGTTCCTCACAATATAGTAATATGTTACTCGTTTCTTGGGGCTTTCTTAGATTACGAATGGTGTCAAGATTGATTGTGCTGGATGAAATACTGGTGGATCTAGGGAGAAAGTTGACTTAAATGGAGGATGAAGTGGAAAAGTGAAGGTTAAGAAGGAATGTGTAATGAATATGAATTTTGCTAGAAGATAGTTGTTTGGTGGGATCACTATTAAGTTAACATGGTGTTCTGGAAACAACAATTAGAAGAGGTTGGGTGATGGTGACGGGATGCAAATTGGGGAAAATAAAGGAAGGGACTACAAGGTGGTCAATGGAGCTGAAAGAGTTATTGGTGCTCTAGGGGTTGATGGGTTGGGAGCAACCTTCTATGTTGATATGACTTGGGCATCTTTTTGGGTGTAGGTACAAGATCTCTTTATTAGATTAATCAAAATGTACAAATTGTGCAGGGGGGTTAATAGGAGATGTAGAAGCAGTTGATATTGTAGAGGAATAATTCTCATGGTGTAGGTTATTTAGTGTTGAGGAGTAAATGAATGATGCAAACCTGTTGGAAAGAAGAACAAAGATGCAGTGGATGATTATGTTGGGGATGATAAATTTTTATGGGTTATGGTATGAGCTTCTTCCTTGGTTTTCTTTTGTCCTTTGGAAAACTTGGACTTAGTCAGAGAGTGCCATGTAGCCATGAAGATGACTTAGAGATGAGGAAGGTTAAATAATGAATGGTACTTGGTTGAGAGCTCTGTTTAATTATAATTAATTTGGATTGTCCGAAATGTATTAATAGCTAGATGATTGTATTATTAGATGATTTAAATGCTTCTGGTAGGTTAAAGGAGGCTTGAAATGTTTAGGATCATGGAGGTGGACAAGAGGAGAGCCAGGACAGTATGGTAGTGGGGGATGAACAAGGGATTGTAATTGTAAATCTAAAAAGCAATAGAAATGTTGATATGGGTCAATTTTGAAATGGAATCAATGAATGCTGTACATCGAGTTGTAGGTGAAAAATTTGGGGATGGTGGTAGTGTATAAATAGATAACAAATGACAAGATTATGTAAGAGATCAAGGCAATTACCTTTAGAAATATAGAAGCTGATTATATTAAGGACAACTAAGTACTTCTATTGCATGAAAGAAGTTGGTTAGGGATTGCCATTTGTAAAACAAACATGTCCAAATTTAGGAAATAAGGCGAGATTAACATGATGGGAGTAGTAAGGGTGAAAGCTGGTATCAAGGAAGAACTTGTGATCTACTCCCATTGTATATGCCAAGGATTTTAAGGACTGAATGTAATGCTTAATTTGGGTATTTTTGTTTATTTATAAAGTTACAGTCGTTTAATTTGATTTTTTCCTACTCTGGTTTAACATGTTGAATTTTTATGTTTAGCTTACACAGTTTGTTGAATTCCAGTGAACTTTACTAATTTTAATTGGAAAGCCAATTGAGATTGAATGGTTTTATGGGGTTGGCATGGACTAAAATGGTATTTGGTATTTTACTGTGCAATGTGATTATAAGTAATATAATTGTAAGCAATATGAGTGTAAGGAAGATAACATTGTAATGTTTGTTATATAAGTAAAGTAATAATTAAAATATAGAGAAAATAACATTCCAGTATTTAGTTTACAAGTATTTACTAGAAATGTAATGTTAATTTTTTAAAATTAGTTTTATTTATTAAAATGTAAGTTTAATATAATTGTATTTTTTACTGTTAATCTTTATACAATATTATTTTTAAATATATTTTTAATATTATATATTTTTTATTTTTAATTTAATTTTATATATTTTATTTTTTAATATAATTTTTTATATTATATATTTTATTTTAATTTTTTAAAAGATAATATAAATTTTATTGACAGTAATTATGACTATTGAGAATAATAAAAATACATTTTCAAAATCTATATAAAAAAATAAATTATAGCATTATAAAATGTTTTTAACAGAATAATAAAAGTTGAAAGGTAAAAATGTTTAATTATATCACATAGTACAATGTAATTTAATTGCATTGATTTTGAATTATAATTATATTAGCTTTATTGGTTGTAACATGATTGTATTGCAAAGTTACATTACAGTGATTTATTACAAAACAAATATTGTAATATAATTTAATCACGCACATTGTAAGGAATGCATTCTCACTTCTTTTGTACCAAACATTATCTCAATGATTTGGCATTTGTATTGATATTTGAGCAAGATTGTTACCTAGACGGGACAAAATATGGGGTCTATCTTTGTTTGTGATTAATGCGACCTAGACTGCTTCCCATGCTTGGTTACGGGGTTTTTCGGTTATTTGACGATTTGTTTTAAGGTAATGGTATATAATCTTATTCAAACTTTGTTATTAACACAGATAAAAGGATGCCGCTTTGTATAATTACAATTACTTAGTGGAGTAAAATATGTATAGTGTAGAAAAATTGATATTTTAAACAAGACATTTGAATTTTTAAGGTTTCTAAAAGTTGACAATGAAGTCATATAGTGCCTTTCCAAGATATCAAGCAATGGAAAACATATTTTGCTCAGTACAATAAACAAAAACATTAAAAATCAAAATATAAATTCTCATCAGATTAAATTAAGTCAACAACTCACATTGTTGATTTCTTCCCAAAATAGTCAAATGCAAAAGCATAAAACACATTTTTGTATGTTCAAAAGGGTCTCAAGGCATGACCACCTAATTATATAAACTTGGTTTGCAAGGAATAGAAACAAGTGTATGCTATTAGGTTTCATGGAAGGAAAAATCACAACGTGCTGACTTTAAAATCTATCCTGGATAAAACAGTGAGACTTGACTTCAATTCTGCAGTACCAATGTGATTTCATTTGCAAAAGATTACTGCTTTTCAAAAAAAAAAAGAAAAAACTTGAAAGAGCAAAGCAGCTCATAGAATTTAACTCAATTGATTTTCATTTTTAACTTTTCCAACTTATCCTTATTTAGGATTATTTCTAACTCGAGCCTTAAAGCTTAATTAACTGATTGAGCTTGAAGTCCACTTCATTAATTGAGCTGGAGGCTCAATTCTTTAATTGGATTAGTAGGTTAAATTGCTAATTGAGGTTGAAGTTCTATCCCATTCTAACCCGGTTCAAACCCGTCCCTCTTCTCCCCTAATCTTGATCAACATTCATCTTAAAAGTTTTCTATCTAAATCTACAAGTTCAAAAGGCATAAAACCCCCTCCCAAGGACAGAGAACAACAAAAGGAAAAGCGAAGAAAAATTGACGAAATCAGTACAAAGGAAAAAACAAGCTTTTTTCATTTTGAAATTTTTGAGTGTTTTGGTTTTGTTAGATCTAGAGAGATTTAGGCCTTTTTGTTTTTGTTGAAAAAATGGTTCCCATTAAAGTAAAAGGGGGATAGAAAGGAAGACACTAGTGTATTTTTGGCAAAATATAATGTTGATGAGTGTGGAGTGGTGGTCAACACAAACATAAGCAATGGTCCCGGTTAAAGAGAGGGCAAAAAAAATGAGGGAAAGAGGGAAAAGGATTGCTTTTTATGCATTAATCATAATGACATTGTTTCAGGGGAACCCTTAAAGCCCCATAACTATGTTGTTTTGTTAAAGAGCAAAGAGAAAAATTTATGCTTCCACTAACTTGCTTTCTTTGTTTCATGTCC